CAAGAATTGTTAGAAGCTTTAAGAAAAAGATGTGATGGTAAAAGAGGAGGATATTTGAATGTACAGGGATTGACTTGAAAATGATGGCAGATCTAATGGTCAAGCCTCCAAAAATTGGGAATAAGAAATAACAACAACATATGAAAGTTTAAAAAGGCGTAGTCAACAAATATGTAAATTATTCAATCAATTAAAAGATGTACTTTGGGCTAACCTGGCTAAAATTAGTTTATTAATGTTAGAGAACAACCTGATGAATTTTATTGTTTAGTTATGCTTAAATCAACAGGAGTTTGTATTATACATGGCAGTGGTTTCGGACAAAAGGAAGGTATATAATATTTTCATAGTAAATTTCTTCCACCTGAAGAATTATTTGATGGATTTGTAAGGAATAGAGGATTTTCATAGGGAATTTCTTGAGAAATATATAATAATGATGATGATAAATGATAATGATTTGGATGATTGATATTAGTGGAAAGTATTAGGACAAGTGAGCATATATATATAACAAGGAATAGTATGAATTAGAAAATATTTATTTCTATTGATTTAGAGAAAATACATTTAAAAGCCAAATTTTTAAATTTTTAAATTACTAATTATATTTTATTTTAATTTTTTTAATAATTTCTTGTGTAATTTAGATAATTCTAATATAGTGATTTTATTTGGTTTAATATTTTTTTGAATCATATCATCTAATAAATAATTAATTTGTTTATAATATTTGTTTTTTATTAAACCTCTTAATAAATAATTTATAGTATCAATATTTTCATTTATTTTTTCTAAATTTTTAATATCTTTATAAATGATTAAAGCATTCTCAATGTCATTTAAATAAATTAGATTTTTAATTAGAATATTATAGAAAGTAATATTTAATATTGATAATAAGTAATTTTGATTATTTTTTCTTGATTTTTTTAATTCATTATAATATTTCATTAGCAATTTATTATTTTTTTTTTTAATTAAATAATTTAAAATAATTTTGTAAAATTTTAAATTGTTAAAAACCTTTTTTTTGTGAGTTAAAATTTCATTATTATAAAAATTAAAAAATTCATCAATTCCAGTGTTGTTGCCATTGTTGTTGTTGCTGTTTCAGCTTTTGTATTTTTTTCTTCTTCTTCATCAGACGATACATCCCAGGAATCCTAAATAATCAAAATAAATATAATAATTACTATGTATAAATATATAAATACATTTATATGAATGGTGAAAGTAAATTAAATACCTTAATTTGATCTTCATCAATATCTTCATCAATCCATTTCTTTTTATTTGAAATAACAATTTTAGGAATGGCGGCTTCTTCAGAATTGTCTACTACAATTTTTTAAAAAGAATATATATACACTTTTTTTTATTTTTAATGATAGTAATTTATTTTCAAAAGTTAATTTACCCCAATCAGACATTTTATCAGCCAAGTTTTTATTAGAGTAACGTTTTTGCGACTATTATGATCTTTTGATCGAAGAATTAAAAAAAAAGAAGCTTGATCTAAATCATTTCTTTTATATGGTCCGTGTGACATTCAGAATGTGTAACTTTGACATCAATTTTTGAATAATATTAATAATTTATTATTAATATTTTGGTGAATGAATGTTATACAGTTATTCAACAAAGTTATTAATAAATAAATAATCGTAGTAAATAAAAATAATAGAAATCAGATCATTATTTATCTATCTATCTTTCTCTATACATATACATCTGTTTATACATGACCTCTTTT